ACATTGTAAATAAGAAGAGGGCAGCATCAGCTCCTGTAAATGTAAACAAACTTGTTTGTCTTAGCGATTGGTTGAGGAAGTAGGACTGACTGGACTTGTAGGCTCTGAAGTTTTACACAGTTTTGTTTTTGACTGCAGTTATGTAACAACAACAAAAAATCTACATTTGTAAGTTGCACTTTCACCACACAGAGATTGCACTACAGTACTTGTATGAGGTGAATTGAAAAATACTATTTCTTTTGTTTATCTTTTACAGTGCAAATATTTGTAATCAAGAATAATATACACTTTGATTTCAATTACAACACAGAATATGATATGAAAATGTTGGAAAAAACATCCAAAATATTTCATACATTTCAATTGGTATTCTAGTGTTTAACAATGCGATTAAACCTGCAATTAATCGTGATTGTTTTAATTACAATTAATTTTTTTTAGTTAATTGCGTGAGTTAACTGCAATTAATCGACAGCCTTACTTGATACATTTAAGGGTATTTTGGGGTGGTCTCAAGACAGAAAGCTGCCTAATAAATAGTGATCTCTTGTACAAGATTTCACTTTATATATTAGTTACCCAATAATACAGTAATTAACAATAGACTCCAGTAAATTACATTTAATGTTGCTAAGAGCAGTCCAAGGGAAGATGTATCATCAAGCACATCTGTAAATACGTTAACATGTTAAAACATGTGGAAATTGTAAGTTAAATTTATATAAACAATTCTGATACCAACCGAAACACCCAGTCTGGAAACAAAAATGTGACCAGCACCCAAACCTTTACTCTGACCCAAGCTTTGTGTTCCCTAACATTTTATAGTCAGATCCAAATTCCACTGAAATCAATGATTGTTTTTCCTTTCACTTTAATGACAGCTGAACATGGACATCACATGCCTTTTTAACATGATCTGCTTGGATAACTGATCATATGTGTATATTGTTTGTTCTGTCTGAGCAATTTGGCTCATTCACTGAGACATGAATAGCTCCTGTGTAATGGATACATTTTATGATTTGGTGTAAGAATTAATTTTAATGTATGTTCATCCAGTAGCTTTGTCTCTAATGATCATTTTCTAAATATGGGAACATAGAATTATTTCCCTCAGTAGGGAAAGATTTCTACTATGAAGGGTGCTATTAAAAAAACTAAGACATGCAAATGGTCTTGAATAGCTAGTTTGATTTTGTAGACTGTATATGGCTGAATGAAAAGACAGGCTTTTTATAAACTTTGCACGAATAAAAGTAATGTGTTAAAATGTTTAGGTGTAATTTTGAGAGAATCTATGCACTGAATGGATGATGTTTATTTGTTTTAGTAAGGCAGAGTTCTGGTTGTTTTGAGGCTCCTCACGGAGAAGGTTTCTGTTTAATGGTCTGTATGCATGAACTGTGCAGTAAAGCTGGCGGCAAGACTGTTTATGGAACATTAGCTTGAGAATTTCTTGCTTTGTAAGGGTTATTTTGTTAAAGAAGTACCTACTGGTACATCAGTTCTTAATTTTTTACTTCACAAGCTTATGTGTCACTTGACCAAAGGTTTTGGCTATTTCGTTTCCTAGACTTTATAGAAAATATTTTATAATGCTCCTTTTGGGCATGAAGACAAACTGGAGGGAGTTCAAAGAAAAGCAGCAACATGATTGGGGGGCTGGAGGGATCAATGTACTAGGAATGATTAGAAGAGCTAGAACTGTCTAATCTGACTAAGTAGGGAGAACAGAATCACATGGTAATAATCTACACATATTCGTAGAGCGTAAGTACCAAGAAGATGAATAGGAGTACTTGTGGCACCTTAGAGACTAACAAATTTATTAGAGCATAAGCTTTTGTGGACTACAGCCCACTTCTTCGGATGCATATAGAGTGGAATATATATTGAGGAGATATATATACACACATACAGAGAGCATGAACAGGTGGGAGTTGTCTTACCAACTCTGAGAGGCCAATTAAGTAAGAGAGAAAAAACTTCTGAAGTGATAATCAAGATAGCCCAGTCCAGACAGTTTGATAAGAAGTGTGAGAATACTTACAAGGGGAGATAGATTCAATGTTTGTAATGGCTCAGCCATTCCCAGTCCTTATTCAATCCTGAATTGATTGTATCTAGTTTGCATATCAATTCCAGCTCAGCAGTCTCTCGTTGGAGTCTGTTTTTGAAGTTTTTCTGTTGTAAGATAGCCACCCGCAGGTCTGTCATTGAATGGCCAGACAGGTTAAAGTGTTCTCCCACTGGTTTTTGAGTCAGATTTGTGCCAACTCTGTCCACACATCTATTCAAGTGACATCATCATAGGACCTAATCACATCAGCCATACCATCAAGGGCTCGTTCACCTGCACATCTACCAATGTGATATATGCCATCATGTGCCAGCAATGCCCCTCTGCCATGTACATTGGCCAAACCAGACAGTCTCTAAGCAAAAGAATTAATGGACACAAATCTGACATCAGGAATCATAATACTCAAAAACCAGTGGGAGAACACTTTAACCTGTCTGTCCATTCAATGACAGACCTGCGAGTGGCTATCTTACAACAGAAAAACTTCAAAAACAGACTCCAACGAGAGACTGCTGAGCTGGAATTGATATGCAAACTAGATACAATCAACTCAGGATTGAATAAGGACTGGGAATGGCTGAGCCATTACAAACATTGAATCAATCTCCCCTTGTAAGTATTCTCACACTTCTTATCAAACTGTCTGGACTGGGCTATCTTTATTATCACTTCAAAAGTTTTTTTCTCTTACTTAATTGGCCTCTCAGAGTTGGTAAGACAACTCCCACCTGTTCATGCTCTCTGTATGTGTGTATATATATCTCCTCAATATATATTCCACTCTATATGCATTATGCTTATGCTCTAATAAATTTGTTAGTCTCTAAGGTGCCACAAGTACTCCTGTTCTTTTTGCGGATACAGACTAACACGGCTGCTACTCTGAAAGAAGATGAATGATTTCAGTCCCAAATGAATTGTTTTCAAAAAATGAGAAGGGAAGTTGAATGGACGCAGGAATACATCCTGAACTCTAGTGTGCACTACCATACAACTATTGTAGTTAGTGCCCACAATAAACTCAGCAGCCCAGCTGCTCAACACCACAGGCCACTAGGAACACATCTCCATGAAACACTGCTTTCTGCACTGGCTCCTCATTGAATAATAAAATAATATATGGAGATATACCTATCTCATAGAACTGGAAGGGACCCTGAAAGGTCATTGAGTCCAGCCCCCTGCCTTCACTAGCAGGACTGAGTACTGATTTTGCCCCAGATCCCTATGTAGCCCCCTCAAGAATTGAACTCACAACCCTAGGTTTAGCAGGCCAATGCTCAAACCACTGAGCTATCCCTCCCCCATCACTGTCTTGATTCTCTGCATGGAACTGGTCCAAGTATCTGTGTCTCTGTGACCATGTCACCCTCCAATGGCTACACTGAATTGGACAATGAAATGGTCAGCCACTGAGGAGGGTTAGTGACTATGGAAGACAGAATCTTCATAGCAGATGGAGAAAAACCATGGAAACTTACTACAAGATGAAATCAAAATGACAACTAACCTCATCACATTCAAAGCTGAATGCGACCCCCCTCTTTTCACTCAGGTTCACTCAGGTTCTCCCACACTAGCACCTTTGTGGTCACTTTAAAAAAACTAAAAAGCAAACCAAATATAAAACCCATCAGACCCCTAAGGTTGCCTTTTGGTGACCAGAAAGGAAGAAAGTGCACTGCTGATCTTTTTAATTCGTGGGAGGCATTCTGAAGTTAGGGTGCTGAATGCCTGATAGAGATAGAGGAGCACTGCTGGCCAGGGCATATCCTGACCCGTCGTTTGGGAACAACACTGTCCCGTTGGCACCAGGGCTATACTGGAGACAGCAAGAAAAGCCTCTTTGTGGAGCTAAGTCAATGGTCACCCAGGGCTGCGTAAGGACTGCTGCTAGGATTGCTGTGCATCTATAACAGTGCTAAGCCCCACAGGCCAGCAGATATATGATGGCCTCCAGGATATGAAGGCAGGCCAGAAATCATTGCTCTATTCAATCTAGCAGTGCACCCTGCATATCAGAGTTCTCACCTGAGCGCTTGGTGGCCATTGGGGTGACATTTGTCCAGTGTCCAGTGTGAGGGTCATACCTCTCTACAGAGTTCAGGATGTTCAGCCCATCATAGCCACCTGAAACAACATGGGAACAAACAGTGGGTTCAACCCCGATCACTGTTTCTGCAAAGAGAACATTGCAATGCCTGTGTCTGCTCCATCCCAGATGGCTCTGGCTTAGTGACTCCTTGGCAGTGTGAGCAACACTACTCACAGCGCCTCGCAAGGCTGAACAAAAGCAAACATAGAATCTAGCCTGCACCAGGCAGGGATCAAAGTTCTGGAGGCCACAGACAGCAGGGATTGGGGATGACCTGAGGTGGAAGGCACAGGCAGCCATTGCAACTTTTTCAGGAAATTGTACACAGAGTGGCCATGTCACACTGCCTCAGCAGGGGAAGAACACTGTGCTACCAGCCCAGAGGGCAAGGAGAAGAAGGGAGCAAGGGAAGGTTGGGGAACCTAGGATGGAGCAGTTAGTGAAAATGTAGCGGACAGCCTGAGACATGAGATTCCCCTAGAATAGGACCATGACGAGGGTGGTCAGAAAACAAAGCCATGGCGCTGCCTTGACCAAGGGCCCTGGAGAAGCATCCAAAGAATGAGTTCATTTAAGAGTTTAAGACCATTGTCCATCTGGGACTCACAACATTCAGTATGGGCAGCTGGGGCCTTCCAGCCTCCAGAGAGAGGAGCTAGAACACAAGCAGCTCAGGACAGGCCACTCCAGCCTTTCCATGTTCCAATGGCACCATAGCCAAAGCTACTCTCAGGAACTAGTTATCCCATAGCCTGCACATTCCAGCCAGCACACATCCCCCAAACTTACTCATATCTCAGCTGGCACGTGACCCAGCACACCTCCCATGACTTCAGTATAAGCCATCAAAATGTCTCCTCAGCAGTGACTATGTGAGAAATCTGTCTGCTGACTGAGCTACCCAATATCTCAGGAGAGCGAAGTATATAACAACTGGGATTCTCTTTTAGGCTGTATTCTGCACATCCCAAGAGCCCGTTATAGATGGTATTTGCCCTGAATTCTGGGTGGAACACTAATACTTGCAGAGTGCTGATGGATCCTAAGGTCACCTACCGAGGCAGTAGATAACACCATTAGCTACAACCAGTCCTGCTCCTTCCCGAGCTGTTTGCATGTCTCCCAGCATACTCCATTGATCAATATTTGGGTCATATCTTTCCATACTGGTGTGACGCCGGCTTCCATCAAAACCACCAGAAACGTAAATCATATCTGCAACATAATACGGGGAGCAGATTCAGAAAGACATGAATACACACACATGCCCTTCCCTCTCCAGCACTTCCCACCCTTTATATTATTTCATGCACACCATGTATGTGTGTCCCTGTGCATAGAAGAGGCCTAGGGTCACTTGGACACTGCCATTCATTGATGTTACATCAGCACTTCCTTAGAATGAATATTTAAAAGATGTAACACTCTATGCTTGAAACCCGCTGCATAAATCCCAGCCCAAAGGCCTTCCTTAGCTATATTCCCTCATACAGTTCTATTGAAAAATATCTATTGGTTATATTCAAATTGTTCACTGCAAATGACATTTCATCGAATGTTTAAAAACATGTTAAACTGCAGCAAATGAATCAATACAGGCCCCTGAAGGTGCTCCCAGCCAAGAGAGGGGGAAAAAGGGCCAATCTGTTTAGCACCAGGTCCCAGCAGCGACTTCCAGCTGGGACACACAGAAGTTGATCTCTGGGAGCAACACGTTTCTAACAACTGCCTGGGAGATGAATTCTGAACTTCAGGGTATAGAATGGAAGATTCCCACTCCCTGGAACTAGAAACACACACTCTTAGGATGAAGAAGAGGAAGAGCTGCTCTTACAGTTAATGGGCAAGTGATTTTCTTTCTCAAACTCCAAATGCTGAGAGATACAATCTCCAATCAGTTACTCCTCTTCCCTTATCAGCCACCTGCCCTCGGAAGATGCTGACACACTGTATTTCATGCTGGCAATGGACCTGTCTGGCCTCTGTGACAAGTGCTGATCAGTGTGTACCTCCTAGGGTAGTGGCCCCTGCCAGGCCTCGACGAACATTCATTGGAGCCACTGAGTACCAGATGCCATCCTCATCCGACGTGTAATCCAAGCACTCCACAGAGCTGAGACGGGAGCGGCCGTCGTATCCCCCAATCACATAAATCCGATCATGCAGGGACACCGTGGCAACATAGCGCCTCTTACGGGTGATGCTCTAACACATTTGAAGAAGTGTCAAAGACAGAAAATGACACCAATACATTGAGAACTATCAGAGTCTCTCTAGATTATTCCATCCCTTTTTGCTGTTACACTGAAAGGGACCCGTTTATATAGCCAAAGCCCTCAATTCTATGTGGCATAATGGGTGAAAATTATATGTAGGAATCCTGAATCTGTGTGTATGGATTCCCTTCCCTATGGTCTCCCCCTCAGCGCTCCCACCTCCCAGTCCAATATCCTTTGCACTATTTATTTTGCAATTAAATTCAGTTTACTTTCTGTTGCCCCAAAAACTTCAACGTTCCAGAGATGTTTGCATTCCCACCACTTGTCAGCACTGTAGTAATTGTCAAGAGGGAAAGCTGGAAAGTTTGGCAGACGTGTAGGGAACATCTGGGAGGTTTCACCCCCAGAGCAGAATGGGATTTGGGAATTCATGGCATCCAGGCTCTTCTAGGAAGGAAATGCAGCTCCTCCCTCCCTTCTCCCACCTCCCCCCACTTGGTAGGGTGGGGTGGCTTTACATTTGGGAAGTAGTGTTCCTCATTCTCCATCCCAGGAGCCACTAGCTCCTCCAGTGACCTCTCTCTGCGATCTCCCATTACATTCAGCAACAAACACGCATGTTAGCAAGGTGTCTCTGTTAAAATATCAGTGGTGAAATAGTTACTGTTGACATTTAAATGATCATCAATAAGCTTCACAGTTTTAAGGCCCCACGGAGATGAAGGGGGCAAGCCACACTCTCATGGAGCTATAGTTTCAGTGTCTCTGCACACTCAGTTAATGAAATAATAGTAATAATTAGCCTTCATACAGTGCTTGTTATCAGCAGATCAAAAAGTGCTTAAAAAGAAGATATCACTATCCCCATTTCAGATAATCAAACTGAGGCACAGAGAGGTGACCAAAATCTAGTGTGTCCTAGTAGCAGGGCGGGGGACAGAACTCAGGTCTCCTGAATCCTGGCACCTCCAAAACATCACTGCATGGCTCAATTTCCATTCATAGTTTGATTTTTTTTCCTGGACCATATGAGACTTAATGGTGACCTGCAAAGGAAAGAATAGGGCTAGAGCCTTTTCTAAAAAAATTCTTTACAATGGATAAAAGAAGAATGTGAATGGTTTTTTGTAAGTTTTTTCCCTTGTTTCTTTTCCTATATTAGAAATTCAGGTTCTGTCTAGGCTCTGAGGGTATGTCTACACACCAAAGAAAAACTTGGGACTGGTCCGCGCCAGTTCACTCGGACTCCCAGGGCTTGGGCTGTTTCATTGCTGTGTAGATGTCCAGGCTTGGGCTGGAGCCATGGGTGTCTAGTTGCTGTGTAGACACACTCAATGGTGACTGTAGACTTAGTGATGTGATATCATAAGAAACTGAGAGTTATAGTAATTGAGAGAAGGGATTTTTAATCCCTTAAAACTTAAAAAAACAAAAAACAAACAGCTATTTAACTTCAACAACATATTAATATTTTGGAGAAAGGATGTATTTGTTTAAAATTCCCCAACCTCATACCTGCAATTAAGGTGGGAAAGCAGATTGTGCACATGCTCTGAGACACTCAGCAAAACCAGGGCAGATCAGAGTTGACACTCCTGATAGATACTTCTGAGGTAAAAATAAATAAATAAATAAAAAATTTAAAGCCAGAAACAAACAAAAACCCTTCCATTCCATTTTTTTATCCATCTTAAAAGGAGCAAAAAGGTCAGAAGCCCAATTTGATAAAGTCCTTTGCAGGTTTAAATATATATATATATATATTTTTTGGGTGCAGAGCTTATGTAGCAACTTAAAACAAATCGGCAATGATGCAGCCATTTATACAGCCCTATAATCACATCACACCCTCTTCAGTCCCTAATTTCTCCCCCTTACCTTTTCTCTTCCTCCCTCTCCCCCCACTCCTTTCTCCTTTTCTTATCTTGGAGAACATCTGTAGTCCTCTAGCTCACAGAAAATAGTAGCAAGCAGGAATGGCATTTCCCTGGATAATGAAACTGGCTTCTCTACCCTAATCCTTTACTAATCTCTATGGCTAAAATATTAAGATTCCTATATAATCCTTTCCTGTGATTTCAAAAAGCCCTACTCTCAAGTACATAAGGAGTTGCAGCTGTGCATAAAATTGGGAGTTCTTCACATTTTCCACAATTGAGAACAAGAAAGCCAAAAATAAGTAAGATTTACTTGTTGGGGCACGGGGGGAGGAAGAAGAAGGGGGATGACACATTAGAACACTGCCCATTTTAATTAAGCAGCACACAAACATCTGGAATCCAACACTTTTCCCAGATCTTTAAAAAAACACTTTGCCTGCCCTATAGTAAACATTGAAATTTACAAACAAAACAGTTGCTCCAATCAGTAGTTAGAGAGAGGCTTAAAATGGAAATCTAGATTCAACTTTAGCTCTGCAGAGGCAACACACACGTGTTTCCAACAAAAGGAAGAGTGCTCTACAGCAGTGGTTCTCAAAGCCGGTCCGCCGCTTGTTCAGGGAAAGCCCCTGGCGGGCCGGGCCGGTTTCTTTACCTGCCCTGTCCGCAGGTTCGGCCGATCGCGGCTCCCGCTGGCTGCAGTTCGCCACTCATGGCCAATGGGGGCTGCGGGAAGCAGCGCGGGCCGAGGGATGTGCTTGCCACCGTTTGCCGCAGCCCCCATTGGCCTGGAGTGGCGAACCACGGAGGGTGGGAGCCGCGATCGGCCGAACCTCCGGATGCGGCAGGTAAACAAACCGGCCCGACCCGCCAGGGGCTTTCCCTGAACAAGCGGTGGACCAGCTTTGAGAACCACTGCTCTACAGTATTTATGTTATGAGTTCTTAGTGTACTTCAATAAAGTAAATTATATTTACATTCTAATTCTCTCACAGGTTTCTTTAGCTAGTCAACTCATAAGGAAGTTTCAGAAGTTGTGCATCACATACTAACAAAACCATGTTTCCATATCTTTGTTGCTCTAGGGTATAGCTGGAACAACTAAAGAACACTTTACTAGATGCCCAAAAAGCCACAATCCCTCAATCAAGGAAAAATGCCATATTATTTAAAAAAAAGTAGGGCTGTCACACAATTAAAAAAAATTAATTGCGCTGTTAAACAATAATAGAATACAATTTATTTAAATAGTTTTGGATATTTTCTACATTTTCAAAATATTGATTTAAATTACAACACAGAATACAAAGTGTTCAGTGCTTACTTTACATTATTATTTTTATTTCAAATATTTGCACTGTAAAAAAACAAAGAAATAGTATTTCTCAATTCACCTAATATAAGTATTGTAGAGCAATCTCTTTATCATGAAAGTACAATTATGTACAAAAAATTATGTACAAAAAATAACTGCATTCAAAAATAAAACAAATGTAAAACTTTAGAATCTACAAGTCCACTCAGTCCTACTTCAGCCAATTGCTCAGACAAAACAAGTTTGGCTACAATTTGCAGGAGATAATGCTGCCCACTTCTTGATTACAATGTCACCTGAAAGTGAGAACAGGCCTTCTCATGACACTGTTGTAGCCAGCGTCGCAAGATATTTACGTGCCAGATGCGCTAAAGATTCATATGTCCCTTCATGCTTCAATCACCATTCCAGAGGACATGCGTCCATGCTGAAGATGGGTTCTGCTCGATAATGATCCAAAGCGGAGCGGATCGATGCATGTGCATTTTCATCATCTGAGTCAGATGCCGTCAGCAGGCTGATTTTCTTTTTTGGTGGTTCGGGTTCTGTAGTTTCCTCATCGGAGTGTTGCTCTTTTAAGACTTCTGAAAGCATGCTCCACACCTCGTCCCCCTAAGATTTTGGACGGCACTTCAGTTTCTTAAACCTTCAGTCGAGTGCTGTAGCTATTTTTAGAAATCTCACATTGGTACCTTCTTTGCATTTTGTCCAATCTGCTGTGAAAATGTTCTTAAAACGAACATGTGCTGGGTCATCATCCGAGCCTGCTATAACATGAAATATATGGCAGAATGCGGGTAAAACAGAGCAGGGGACATACAATTCTCCCCAAAGAAGTTCAGTGACAAATTTAATTAATCTTTTTTTTTTTTAAATGAGCATCATCTGCATGGAAGCATGTCCTCTGGAATGGTGACCAAAGCATGAAGGGACATACAAATGTTTAGAATATCTGGCACATAAATACCTTGCAACACCAGCTACAAAAGTGTCATGCAAAAGCCTGTTCTCACTTTCTGGTGACATTATAAATAAGAAGTAGGCAGCAGTATCTCCCATAAACGTAAACAAACTTGTTTGCCTTAGCGACTGGCTAAAAAGAAGTAGGACCGAGTGGACTTATAGTCTCTAAAGTTTTACATTTTTTTTAACATAACTGCACTCAAAAATAAAACAATTAAAAATCTACATTCGTAAGTTACACTTTCATGATAAAGAGGCTGGGGTGGGGTAGTCGACCGCTTTGATAACAGGTTCGGAAGAAGGGGCAGCGGAATCAGCAGGCAAATCGACATCCCAGTAAGAAAAGCGTACCACACTTGCCTGGGCCACATAGGGGCTATTAGTATGACCCTGGCACAGTCTGTCTGTATTTTGAGTAACACTCTGTGTAGAAGTGGCATTGGGGGGGGGATGCGTACAGTAATTTGCCGCTCCATTGGAAACACCCCAAGGAGTGTTTCCCTAGGCCAGCTCTGGAGCGGGATTCTGGGTACTTGGTTTTGCGGTTGCAAAAAGGTCCAGTTTCGGGTAACCTCATATTTTAAATATGTTGTGTAGGATGGTCTTGTTTATCTCCCATTCGTGATCTAGGGGAAATGCTCTGCTGAGCTCGTCCGCGGTAGTGTTTAAAGAACCGGGTAGGTAAGAAGCTGAAATCTGGATATTGTGTTGGAGATACCAATTCCAAAGCTTCATAACTTCGGTGCAAAGAGATGGGCTCGAGCTCCTCCTTGTCTGTTTAGATAAAACATGCAGGCGATGTTGTCAGTCATGATCCTGTTGTTTTGG